TTCCTCAAGTATTTGAGAGCAATAACGTGACTGGATTCTCCACCCATCCTACATGGTTTGTGTTTCCTGACGTGAGTAGAATTGGTGCTAAATTATATGATGGTGCGTGCTTTGCATACCTCTCAAATACATTTAGTGCTGGATAAAAGCCAGCAGCAGCAGAACTTCCAAATCATTTGTGAAAAACCCATCCCATGTTACCCTTAGCTAGAAATGGACTCATTCATTTGGGGTGGGATTTGTTCTACTTAAATCAGCCATCTAAAGGTTAGCTGGCTAGGGCTGAGGTAGTCGCTGCGGGATCCCCAGCATCAGTGGAAAGCAATGCACACCTCCCAGGAGGCATGATGAATCACAGGAACGCAGTGATGCTTTTTTCCAGAGCACCCTTCCAATAACGTGCGCTTCAGGAACTTCTGAGCCAGCATTTGCAGCTTTTGTGCTAAAACCCGTTCAGTGGAGCCACTGCAGACCTCTCTTCTCTGTTACAACTGACCACTTTCTCCTATGCTGTCTTTCCTTGCTTTTAAGGTGCTGTTTAACCTCATGAAGACCTTTCTTTCGATCCCATTAGTGCTTACTTCTCTGAGAATTCGCGGTGAAAGACCTTGCTGATTTTTTTGGAAAGCCATGTGGTCTATCTCAACCCTTCTCCACACTAACTGACCCTTTCAAGGGCTTCCAGGCAGCTTGTAAGACATGACTTCCCACCAGAAGCTAAGCTGACTGTTCCGTAGCGTATTTATTCAGGTTTCCACTAATATTCATTATTGCTTCTATCGTGTTTTCAAGTCCAAACTGACGAGCAGTTTCCCAGAGCTTACCCAGCAACCTTTAAGAAAAAGCTTACATGTATGCTAGACACTTTTCAAACCTCTCATGCTGAGATGAGAGGACTCCAGGCAGCAGCTCAGCTCCTTCACCCTTCAGCTCCTGTCTGTAGCAGCCTTCAGTGATCATGACCTACTCCCAATTACCTTGTTTTGTTGATTTGGTCTATAAAGCTTCAAATCGGTGTTGCTGGAAGCGAAGCTACACCCCTTCATCTGATAAGCAAATGTGAGTTGCTCAGTATTTGCAGTACGTACGAGCCTATTTTTTTATCCTCATTTTGAACTGACTTGTTTCCCATCTTCTACTTTGATCATAGGCTTTTAAATACAGAGAGATTTCTTCATCACATGAACTCAGTGCCTTTAAAAATAGCCCAGACAGTGCAAACTCTTCCATTGGTCCCTAGGTCCCCGTTCTTCTACCAATAAATGAGGACTTGGGAGAACTATGCTCAAGCCCCCAAAAGAGGAAAAAAAAATAATTAATGGTGTTGGATATGTTTCTAAATGTTGGAAAGACCATTGTGACCCCCATGAAAAGCTCCAAGTCAGTTCTTCCTGTCAGGACAGAGCTATCATCGCTCCAGCTGCCTCCTCCCAGAGGAACAAAAAACACTGTAGATGCTGACAGGGCCTGATTTATGGTTTGGGGTTCTTACTCATATTCAATCATCCAAGTGCTAAGAACACATCTATTAACTTTCTCGTATGTACTCATCCAGCATGCCAGCTAAGTTACGCAATCCCTCTTCATCACTCTTCCCTTCAACTTTCAAAGACAGAAACGCAGTTTGAGCTGCAATTCAGACTATTTGAACAATTTCAGTTCAGAAGAACTACTTAAGTATGAAACGATAGCCCCCAAGACTCTTTTAGCTTCAGGTCAGATACCACTTCATTTGCAATGGCCAAACTCTGAACAAGTCTTAACAGAAGGACTTCAATCTGCATAAAAAAATACCTCAAAAGTTGAGGTTGGAAAAGACCTTTAAGATCATCAAGTCCAACCGTTGAATATCCCAGAACATACAGGTGTTAAGTGTCTAGGCCACACAAAAAGGTTGACTCTACTTACAGTCATCCAGCAGGCTGGGTGAATTCAGGATCAACTCCTGTTGTTAGGAGGAGGAGAGTAAAAGGCAGCAAATACATCTCCGATGATGACGTTAATGTAAAAACTCAGGCGACTGAAGAAGGCGGGGAATTGATTATAGGGGTGATCCTTCCTCTCTCATTTATGCTGGTTCCAAAGAAGAAATATTTTTGAATTCCAGGAGGATGGACATTGAACACCACTTCTTTCTTTACAAAGAGAGTTCACCCAGGCTGAGCTGTCACTTACTGCTAAGTCCACAATATGTCTTTTCCATCAAATTCTGCAGATTCATCCTGAGGTCAGAGAAGTGCAGAGGATCCAACGTTTATTTTCAGACTTGAGTCAGTATGATTTTTGTAGCACAGGGAACAGAATTTTGGAAAGTCTCTTAGTTTTGGGAGTTCTTGGTATCAATCTAAAGCAGTTAAATAGCAGGTAATTAAGGAAGGTGTAACATCTTGAGAAAGATTTGGGCTTTTCTAACAGAATTGCTAGTCCCATTAAGTTGCTGGGATTTCCAATACCAGATGATTCTCTCAAGCCCATAAATTAATTTCCCGCTTTGCCAGTCCCAGCCTCCCTTGTTTTTCAGTAGCCAACAAGCCACAGGAACCCAAGGACTTTTTTAGCCGTCATTGGGTTTCTCAGAAACTGTTCATAGCTCCAATATTTCTGTTAAATTACCATGTAGCAACATGAAAATTCCATAAAGTTGCATCATTAATGAGGCCTTATGAACACATTTAAGGCTAAGACCACAACATACAGATGAAGTGCTTCAGGTTTGTGCCAACACTGCCTCGTGCAGAATAAGCTGCTCTGTCCATTTGGGATACAAGGAACTGAACTGCGCACCTATCGCAGGGGAGCGATTCCGAGTTGCCGTCCCTACCCCTTTCTCCACCAGTCCTGCGGCTATAAAATGCACCAAGACTGTTACACAGGGCACCATCTCCTCCTGCAGCCAAGTTATCCACGCAAGTACCTAAATCCTGCCCTTTTCCTTTCTCCTGCTGACAAGTGGAGTTGCTTCAGTGACTACCTGCACGTGTAGACTTCTCTTTATCCAAGGGTGTTGTGGGGTACCAAAAAGCACTGAAGTCCTCCCAGTGTATTTTAATGTTCTAGGAAAGCAATCACTGGACAGACAGCGGCAACAGGAGAGGGGAAACACGGAAAGATAAAGCGCCGCAGCAGTGACCGGTGCTCTGGTATTCAGTAACATGTGCGTGCCTATTCCCAGACTGGTCACTGTCTGCTTTCCCCAAACACCCACACAGCTCCGTGCTGGAGGAATTCCTGACACAAATGGATTTTGATTGATTGAATTATCTTTTGAGTATTATTTTGTTTTTCTGTTTCTTATAAACCGATTGTGCGAGTCAACTTGCGAGTCTGCAGGAAACTCCTGTGACAACTCAGAAAACATCGTCTCGGCGACACTGCCAGTGAGTGCTAGCAGAGAACACGGGTATCACCATGACCTGCACGTAATCAGCTGAGCATCCGCCTCATTTTCATCATGCTAAGGGACCAACCTCAAACCAGTCTTCCCTGAAAATTCCTCTACTAGAGTCACTAGGTATGGCATTTTCTGGTACATGAACTGTCAGGCTTGGTCTGCCATGTTGGCCAACTTCTACCCGAGTCCTTCTGACATTACCGAAAAGCATTTCCAATTTCTAGGGATTCTGTCACTACTTACTACAGCATCCACCCAGCCGTTGTACAGCACTCCCACTTGAAGCTGCAACCTTTTTCCACTGAAAATTAAATATTCTTAATCCTTTTGAAAGAATCCATGAATGGCAAAAATATTTCACTGACAAAAAGAGCAACCGAATTACTCATTATGCCTTTCATACATGGTATATGAATGTCACAGTTTAATATGGAGAAAATAATTGTCAACACACAATAACTACATGTAATTTCATAAATGATATGTGCAATTTAGTGTTTTATTAAACAAATACAGTAGCTAACCAAAATCCGATTGCTGATAATGGGAAATTACATTAAAGCCTATGTAACTATGGTAATTACTGGTCATCTGAAACAATATATGCCCTAAAACATAACGCAGAAAATTATCTTCCTGTGAAATAAGAAATACAATAGAAATAAAGTTAAGGGACATGTTTATTTCGGAGCTTTCTGCAAGCAAAATTGCTTTGATACAAAATGAGTTCAATGATACAGTGCTACCACCCACTCAAGCAAAAGAAAACCTCACATTTACATGAATGCACTTTATATTGGTATCCTTACAGAATAATAGTTCAGGTATCCAGAATGTGTCTGGCCTCCTTGAAAGCAATGGCACAGAAACGCTGCAAGGTATTGGAGTATCATATTACTGGCGAGTGCTTAATTAACTCTGTGAGTTCTCCGAGAGATGCTGTATAAATAAGGGTACTGTGAATGTGGGTTTGTATTCCTTAGAAGTTTTGACGTACATCCTTTAGTGTTTGTTTCGTTAGCTCAAAATGTGTAATTGTGTCTTTTGGCTTTTTAGTATTCTCTTTTTCTTTTTTAAAGAAAAATCATGAGGTATCCTTTACTGTTAACTAATGACATAGTGATAGGCCTATTTTGTTCAGGTTGCAGAGGCTTACTGTACATTCAGTACACTGTACATTCGGCAATTTTTTTTTTAGTGTACTTTCTACACATCACTGTGTACAACTGTTAGTTTACATTAAAACTCTTCCCCCTTCTCACAGGATATGGCATAAACAAAAACAAATCTGACAAAAATTATACACATAAAATAAGAAGACAAATACACAAATAAGGCCATCTGCAGAATTAAAAATCCACCTCTTGCGATATTTCACAATAATTTCTACATAATATTTTACATCTTACGAACTTAAATACTTAATGCAAAAGGAAAAGACCTTTACGGAGCCAATCATATTATCTCTTCAAGGACTTGTCCAATTTGCTGGCTAGTGGCCTTCTCTGGGGAGTTGGAATTTTAGAAGGCTTGGCTGATCCTGGCCGAGAACCTGCTCGGGGTGTCGGTCTGCTTGTAGCAGGAACAGTCTCTGACATATCTGAGCATACAGACTGGATTTCTGAAATGTCAAAGTCAGATGCGTCACTGCCTCGGCGGCTACTTGACCTGCTGCCAGCCTTGCTTCCTGCTCGGCTTCCAGGTCTGCTTGGAGTTCTTCTGGTTTCTAGAAGAGAAAAGATACCCATCAGTACCAGAGGTAAGGATGGAAAAGATGCGCAGGTCTTTCCCAGGTCTTTGGCAATCCCAAAAATTCCTCATTGCACAAACCAAACTTCAGACCTCTGTCAGGCAAGCTAGATGATGATCGAAGTTCATGTTGGTATTAAACAAGAGCATAAACCAATGCCATATATCTTACTAAAGAGAAGGAAATGTGAGATCAAATGACATCGTTGATCTGTCACTCACATTGCACATCTCATTAAAAATGTATTATCCTGGCAATTTTCCTGGACTTGCTAGACATGCTTTGTATACTCACTCAACAGCCAGATCCTTTCTTTCCCCTGCCATTTTCTCAGCTATGAATTGAAAGAATTCAGTATCAGGCCTCTTCATTCACTCAGGATTTCCCAATATATGCAGCTTGCAGATGCAGATGAATATCCCAATTTCTAAATGTGTACCCCTCTTTTTAAAAAAAAAAAAAAATATCAAACCCATACAGTTGAAAGCTGCAAGTAAACACGGGCAGAGCATAAACTCTCCCAAAGGGCTGAGTAAATGAGCTCTCAGCAAGCCTGTGAAAGTGAAAGCCTGCCCAGACAATGTGCCATGAAGAAAAAACCACAACAGAAAAACATTAATGTGTTTTTTTCATAATTTTCCAATTACTTATTAAATCTTTTTGATCTTGACAAATTTGGTTCCCTGTGTGTGTGAAGAACACAAAGTTGAAACTGGAATCTCAGGTGGCTCGTTTTTCAAATCACCTATAACTTGAAAGACATCTACTCTTTGAACAGGATTTTCCAGTACTGCTCAGTATGCTCTGCAGAGCTTAAGATGCGAGGGAAAGCCAGCAGAGCTACCTTCTGTTCTAACCACCTAGCCCTCTCCCTTACACAGGGCTGCTCGGAGGATCCTGGAAGAGCACAGCTTCACTACTTTCAATTTCATATACTGTTTTAAAAATCTCTATGGGATATTCCATTAATAAGGTCATCCACAGCTGCTCCCTGCAGTTCTTCTTTCAAAAGAAATGGGCAAGTCATGATTAAGTGCCCCCTTTCCTCCATCACAGTTGAGCAGAGCTTGAATACTGTGAAGAACAGATACCCCCCCCCCTTTTTTTTTTGGAAGTAAATGCTCATTCCCTAGTTCCTTAGGCAGATATGCTGGAGATACCATTATCAAAAAGGCTGTAGTCATGAAATTTGCACATCCAGAGCTGAACTTACTTGCTGTGCAACCATGTGAACAGAGGACCATTATCCCAATTACGTGCGCCATTGGCAATACTAATGTGGAGCCAGTAGGACTTTCACTCCTTCCCACTCTTCTGACATCTCCCTCACACCCTAACAGGACCTTAAGTATTCAGGTGGAAAAAAAAGCAAGTGGTAGATCAAGCTCTGAATTCAAGACACTCACCTGCAAACTGAGCTCTAACTCTGGTAGCTGCTGTTGACAGGATGGCGCTGTCATCTCCAGAGTGGAAACCCTTCCCTGATAGATACCCTGGCAGTCTGAGTTTACTTCCTTGAATCGGTGTCCCCTATGCAAAAAAAAAAAAAAACCAAACCCAAAATTGTCAATTGTCAACACTGAAGATAATGTCTGGTATTAGGTAGTACATAGCTTAGAATATGACCATCATAACAACATTCATGGTGAATCTGAAATACTGGTTTAAGTCACTATGGACATTTTTCATGATGTGAAGTTCTGAACAATCCCTTAGCAGTTAGCACTTGAAGTAGTCCAAATGTAAAACACCCACAAAAAAAAAAAAAAATCACTTTGACACTCTTCTTGACATTAACATTTTAACATTCTTTGTCTGTATTTCAATGCATATAAAGAAAAGAAAAACGCTACCTTCTTAAAATTAGTCAAGCACGTAAGATTAGTTGATGGTACGTAACTTAAATAAACAGAGATAAGTAGTTGAGGTTTTACGTCTGCATAGCTTCATTTTCCACCATTCCGACTGTAGTTATAGGTGGTGAATACATTTGTTTCAATTTTATAAATATTTTGATGGTAAAACAAAACCACCAAGTTTCAAAAGCTTTTCCTAGAAAAAAAGCAGGAAAAAAGGACATAGGACTAATTTAGAAAGTTCCTGTTCCTCAGTATATTGTCCAAAATGTCTCTGCTCCACAGTCTTACCCTGCCTGCTTTCTCATTTCTGAAATGAGTCTTGATTTGCAATCTGCCCCAAATGGGACGATTTCTTTCAAAGCCACAAGAATTAAATCCTCAAATCTCAAAACACATGTAACATACTAGATAGGAGGTGTATGCAAGTAAAAGGAAAACTACAGTATTCATATTCATTTAATCAACACAAAAATACTACGTAAATATCCCAAAAGAAGAATACTGCAGTGATGAATGCAGCATGTTGAGTGGCCTGGATCCCAGGATCCTGTGTTCTGTGCCTTTGATCCCCATACAGCGGTGGGGTAGAATTAGGTACTGAAAACCAAGAGCCAGAGGAGCGTGTTGGGAGCTGCCTGAAGCTAAGCACCGGGCGGAGGCCTGGCGGGAGCCGGCCTGGCAGCTGCCAGCTCAGACCACTTCTGGCACATCTGAACAAAAAAGCACTGAGATGCTACAGAGCAGACAATCTGCTGGCTCCCACAGGGATGGTCAGTGTTAAACCCCCTTTAAAGCCAAGTAGCAGCACTTAACATCCATCCAGCCACACCCTGGAAATCTCAGCTATACAGAGACTGCTTGGGAGAAGAAGGAGAAAGGGAACACCCTCCATTACCCCTGCTGAAGCTGCGGCACTTTGGGCGAAGTACTGGGATAAAATCACTGGTACAAGAAGAAAAAAGAGATCAGGCTTGTTCTTCAGTTTAGCCCTAAACCCAAATGCAGCCTACATATAAAATACATAACCTTTTGGGCAGAAAATGTGGCAGAGTGCCTTGGAAATCCACTGCAACCTACCCCACCCCAATCGTTCCATTTATAATCTTAAACCATGGCGGCTTACATAAAAGAAACTCACAGAAACTACTGGCAGTTTTAAAAGCAGGTGAGAAATACAGTGCCCCATTTGAAATCACTGCCAGCTGCTTTCACCTTATTGTAATTCAATGAAAACAACACCTTTCCATGTCTATAAACCCTTTAAAGTACCATCAATTAATCTTACAATTCAGTTACCAGCTAAGAGATGAAAGAAAATACAGGAATATATTAGAAACTGACAACTGACTCAACTCTGTGCTATTGTTAATCATTGTAAGCAGCAGCCGGGTGTGCTCGAAGTGCTGTAGCGTGCACAAGTACTACACCCACTCGCACAGGAGGAGGGAGTGAAAAGTTCGTTACGCATCTTTGAGCAAAGCCACGCTGAGGTCACGTAAACTTAGCACCACAAGGTGTCACATGAGTAGCAATAGGCAGCAAAGCACAGATCTGTGAAAAGCAGCTACAACCGAGGTGATAGTAGCACCAGGTTCCCCTCACCGAGCCCTCCGTCTAACCCAGGGCAAGAGTAACTCCTACAAGATCCAGCTGCAATCTTTTCACTGACTGCAATAACATTAGAGAAGACACTTTGGCTCCAAGCCTATTCAAATTTTGGTCACACAGCTTGATTGCCGGCACAATCGTAATTGCTATACTAGCAGTTTCTATGTAAGTCATGGTGGGCTGGAAATAAGACCAACGCTCGTTTCCTGTTAAGTCATCAAATAGCTATCTTATTAGAGCAACGATTGGTCACTACCCCTCTAAACAGAACTTTCAGTTGTTGGAAAGATTTATATATCACAGTCAGTACTTTGTGCCATCTTCTTCACAGGGACTGGGTATTTCTTTCTTTAGGAAAGAAACCTGCAAAGTATATAAACTGGTTTATTTAAAAAAAAAAAATAAATACTTTTCCACCACATTTGCTCATCCAGTTCATTGCATACTGTTATGATTTATTAGCCATTTGCACTTTAAATGTAAATGCATTGAGGCCAAGTTTTCCTAAAAGTCAGAAACCGTAACAGAACATAAAAAAAAAGACTTGGGGAAAAAAAAAAGAGAAAAGAAATAATTTGACACAGATCTAAAATAAAAACAATGCATTAATATGCAAAGGACGTTGCAGCTCTGAAGCTCTAGTGGCTGTTAGTGAAGTGACAGTTTTAGTGAAGGAAGGTCATTAGACTAGAATCTCTGTCCTTACTGTACCTCTGCAGATGACCCTTGATGGTCTGAGGATTCTGGTGGCTTAGAAGGAGTTGACGTTTTGCTGTTTGTCAACCATGGCTTACCATAGTTGCGTGTTAAATGATGGGGTGTCTGTATGAAACAATGGTAAATCAAAATATGAAGGACAGTAGATGGAAAACAATGTCATGGAGAAGATACCCAAGATTTCACAGGGAGATCAATCTCATAGCAGAAATAAAAACTAAGCAGAAAGAGTTGATGACAAATGTTCTGAAACGAAGAGATGGCAGAGCTTATTTTTTAAACGAAATGGAGAGGTTCACTGCTCTTTCAGAGCTTATTCCCAAACTTCCAGTTAGCTCATGTGGCACCTTAAATGTAAAGAATTCTTCTATTCCCATGTTGCAAACAAACAGTTGAGGAAATACACTGAAAAGACTTCTGAGATCCTTCCCAGATTATGAAATAAAATTGAGATACTTCTTCCCTATCAGTTAGGGAGAGCACCAGTATTGTTGGAGCAAGGAAAAAAAACCAAGTCTATATCCCATTTTTGAACCAGTGCAGTTCTGTATGTTTCTCCTTACCTTTGGCGTACTTGTAGCAACTGCTTGCGGGGCAGCTGCCTGGCCAGCTTGGCTTGACAGAGAAGTAGATCTGTTGGGAGAAGCACCCCTTGAAGAGGGTCGTGATCTACGGCCCCTTGGTCGGAAAGCTGCCATGCTCTGACTGGCACCGTCTGCCAAAATGAACTTTTCGCGCAGCTCCACGTTTGTCCTGCCTTTAGCTGCAGCAAAGAAAGGTGTTCGTTTAGTCAGATATGAAAATTGTCACAAGACTGTTTATTGTCATTTTTGCCATGCCAACTCCAACACATTTTAACAATAAATAAAATGCATTACTGTGTAATGCATTTATTTTGGACACAG